GTGTGTGTGTGTGTGTGTGTGTGTGTGTGTGTGGGAACTTGTCTTCCTTATGCGGACAAAAAGCACAAGATAGATCATAGTCTTTTAAGTATTTTAAGTTGAGAACATGTTTTAAGGTTTAGTGTAAACAAGTAGTAACTATGGTGTAAGCCTTCAGGAAATCAAAGAAAGGCTTCTCAGCTGCCTTGTTAGAATATATATTGAAGTCTTCAGAGGGAGCAGAGGGCGTCTGCTGCAGAGGGCAGCTGTGCACTGACTCTGTCCATATTGACCGAGCTGATAATCTTGCCAAACAAATATAATGACGGCCCAGGGCTCACACTGCGAGAGGGATATCATTTTCAGCTGAGGAATAATGCATGATTCTCTCATTTGATATTCAATTACAGATTCAGCATCTCTTTTAATAATTCTATTAAAAGTGCTCCTCTGGGCTCTTGTCGTTCTTGATGTTACCAGAGTTTTTCCTTTTAATCTTCAGATGAGAAAAATATATGCAATTGCACGCAACTCTGAGTTCATGTGATAAAGCACAAGAGTCAAAGAAATCAAAATGAACAAAGTGGGGACAAATAAAACTTGCCGTATCAAGCCTCACATAAAACTACTGGATTATTCAGAACACGTAGCTGTTGATGACCAAGCTGAGAACAGATCGATAAAAATGGATTCCTATTTTTGGAAGAAAATATGCTGCTCTGCTTTCAGACAACACTGATCCAATGCTCGGATCTCGGTGGCACATACTAGAATGGCATAGAAAGTTGTTATTGAGATTGTGTAAGAAAGCAGTACAATAAACACTTCTGTGTAAATTCAACAATTGTGAGCAACATGACTTATTCAAGTGTATTGAGGTTTACAGTAAGTCTCGTACCTTTTGTAGAAACTGTTTCTCATTGGGTGTCTAAAAGCCTCTGTGATGTTTCCACTAGAATATCTGCTGAAGTGACGCTGATCAAACAAACCTTTCAAAACTTCTCTCTCAGATCTGTACTCGTGCCTTTTAGTGATTATCACCCTTCAACATCTTAAGTCATTTCCTCCAGTGTGTACTCTCTGGAGAACGACTGTTTGCCCTTTACCACACCAGGACCCCGAAAACAACCTTTTGAAAAACTGGACGACGGATGCATTAAGATCCTTTAAGGTGTCAGAGATAAGACGATATTTTGTGCAAAGTAAGTCCATGTATCAGAGTTTGAAATCAATAAAAAGAAAAACATTGTGAGGGTGAAGAGGATACAAAGACCAACGTAATGAAGCTGATGACTACAGCTTTGTTCTGAAGGAATTAATTAAAGTGCATTTAGTGATCCATTCCCATGAATAATAATTCAGACTTAAGAATGAATTGATTCAAGGGAAGGAATTACTGTATTTAATCATCAAAACAGACGTATGAGTGCAATTATTAATCCTCTCAGTGAGTGACTTTGAGACCAGATATTTCCTCCTCACATTGAATAGTAAAAAATGCAAAGAAATAACTAAATAATCCAAATAATATTAATTATTATTATTACAATTAATAAACAAAGTCTCTTATTGAGCAAAAAAGTATAAATGAGGTTCCATCTCATCAGAAAGAATTATATTATGTGTCATAATTAGCTGCAGCCCTGGTTGTATTAACCCTGCAGCAGGGAGCAGAGGGCCTTATGGGAAATTTGGCCCTAATGTAAAAAAAACAGCACAATCAATACAGGCCATTATCTCCACTGCTCTCTCATTTACATGTTGGACTGGAGTATGCTAATTAATATGCATTGTCTGTTTAAAATACATAAACAAACCACACTCGCCATTATGTACATGGATACATAATAGCGTACATCCATGTACGATAATTTGTTCAAATCATTTTGAATCTGCATATAAGAAATTACCACCTTTTTCGCTGTGGTTGTTATTGGGTCACAAACCTGTCAACAGAGACGGCGGCGAGCGTGAAGCTGCTGGCGTACATGGTGAGGTTGATGAAGAAGTGCACCACCTTGCACATGAAGGAGCCAAACACCCACCCCTCCAGGGAGTAGATGGTGGCTTGGAAAGGGACGCAGAAGATGATGAAGAAGAAGTCGGCCACGCTCAGGTTGAGTATGAAGAGGTTGGTCGTGTTGTATCCGACCTGGCCGCTCCGCAGCAGCACGGCCAGCACCAGGCTGTTGCCGACGGTTCCCAGCAGGAAGATGAGGGAGAAGACCACCGACACGATCACGCTGGTGGGGTTCAGCTGGTAGCTCTCAGACATGTTCGCCTGCCCCCCCGGCTTGCTGAAATTCTCAAAATCTGACATTTTGAAAGTCTGAAACAGGAGAAGAGAGAGGCACCTGTGTCAAGAGGAATTTAAATCACTATCCTGGAGCTTTAAGAAGTTGTCAGGGTAGAAATCTTGAAATCAGGGTGCATGGTTTGTACGACGAGGGAAGGGACGTTTATTGACACATTTTTCAAATAAGGCAAAAAGGTGGACAATGGTGCACGTGAATGTCAATCAGTACAAACCAGATTTGATTTGGATCTGTACCAAATTGCACAAACTCACAAATATCAGTCCCCTAAATATGTCAGTTTTTTTTTTTTTCATCTCGATCCATGAATCATTCTCTGAGAAATCGAGGGAAGGGTTGAAAAATGATTCATCTCACAAGGCCAAGGTCATAAGACAAGAATGAGAAGCTGCTGTTTATTTGCTGCTGACCTTTTATCAGCTGCCTGCTGGGAATATTTTATGTTTAACAACAAGTAAATTTCCAATGCAGGAGACACATGTGTCTTAATGTCATCTTTCCAATGGGAATGTTGCTGCTATATTCCTATTTTACTGAAAGTGAAAGAGAAAAATGAAATGAAGATTTCACACACTACAGCAATTTGTTGGCTTTAAATAGAAACCCTGATCATTTTCGTGTAAGTGGGCTCAGCCACTTTCAGCAGCTGTTTAAATCCCACACCACCTCAACCAGGAAATGATCTTTGCTGTGGGCCCTCTGCTTTCAGTCGAGAACACATCGTAATTGAGCGTCTATACGGTGAGCTTTGTCTGACCGGTTACCATTGTTGTGTAACAGCTTCTGAGACATCCCAGTTTTACAGAATGATGTTCCCGATGACGTCAGTTTCCACTCACAGGCTTTTTTGGGGATCTGTCAAACCCTCATTTTGCTGAATGGTGAGTGGTACAAAATTGGAGCTTCAAAGTAAAGAGCTGCTCTTGATGGTGATGACGATAGAGACACGCACACACACACAAGGCAGTGTGTCCAAACACTTGATTCAATCTAATCCATTAGAGTCCAATCTGTGGCACAGTGGTTAAATCATGTGGCTTTGGTTTTTTCCTGGTCGTGACTCGATGCTATTGTCAGTGTGTTGGTTCGGTCTCCATGGAATTTAACCATGGCATCATTTAGGAAGCCACTCAGTAAAATAAAAAAAGTAGAACAGTAGAACACAAACCTTCTCCAAGGCCTGAAGTCTCCTTAATTCACTTAAAGCTGCAACAAATGTCCCACACTCATCAGATACTGAAATGTGCCTCGAGATCCATGAATTATTCTCAGAGAAATAAAAGAAAATGTTAAGGAAAGGGATAAAGAAGTTCTGTTGACTCATACTGTATCCTTTCGCCGAATTTTGTAGTTCTGTAGTTTTTGTGTAATCTTGCTTACAAACAAACCAACCAACCGACAAAAAACAAAATGGACGAGGGTGGAAACATCACCTCCTTGGCGGAAGTAAAAATTCTTGATCAGATTGGAAATTGAGAGTGAAATAATCAACACCACGCTATATCCTTCAAAACACAAGTTGAACAAGTATTTTCCTGAGGTTTGTCGAGAGCAGGCTCCTCCACAGTGAAGTCGAGATCACAGGAAATTGCACTCCATATGCTTTGGTGTACCAGAGATAATGAGCAACTGGAAGAAGATGCAGTGTACTTAGTTCAAGTGTGTTATCATCAGCTCTTCAAGCCTATTTCTAGAGAAAAACAGGAAGAAATTATCCTGCTCTGTATAGACTTCAAAGCAACACTTTTATCCATCGACAAATTACTTCTCCATGTTGTGTCACCTTCAAGAAACAGCTCTTAGAAATTACATTTTGTTGTCAGGGAGTCAAAACAAAATCTATGCAGGCATTTTCGCTCACGCTGTAAGAGTTAGTGCCTCCATCTCCAACACAGATGTTGTGTTGTGGTTGCAATTTCCAGTCAGGAAACAATTCAAACAACATTTCTGATGATCTGAAGGTTTTTAATGCTTATTGTTCCATCTAAATGAACCACTTTTATTTTACATAAAAGCCACGCTGTATGATAACTTAATGCCTCATTTCAATGACAGTACAAACATGAATGCTTGTGAAATTCATGATTTTTGATGCTCAGGCTGCAACAAAGCCACTCGTAAATAAATCAAAAAATAAATCAATTTATTGTTACATCATTCCCCAAGGCTTTTTCTGCCTCCATTTCTCAAATCCCAGCAATGATCTATCTCCAAATTAATTATTTAAACATTATTAAACTTTCAACATCCACCGAGTATTAACACTTCTGCCAGTCTCATAATCAGAATTGTGACTCAGGGTAAAAATTAAGCGGTTGACAGCAAATGAAAGATGCTCTAAAGTGAGGATCAGGGAAGAGGGACTGAAAGCTGGTTGCTGCTGCAGAGGAATTTTTGCTTTGTTCCCACGCCTGATTTCAGCAGCAGCGTCTGATTGTCCTCCTCATTGCAGGCCAGGGATAAAAAATCTAAAGTGATATTAAATCTCTGACTGCAATAAGGTATCAAGGCTGGGAGACTCCAGCCTGTGCAGACATGTGCCGGGGTCTCATGGGGGATCAGAGTAAACAGGGATCGACACCGAGGAGCTTTATTAGCTTGTCATGAAGTGTGGGATCTGACAGGTTGTGGGATTTTTTTTAGACTTTGGCTGGAGTAGCTGTGTTGGATGTGAGCGTATAATTGGAATTTTCTGAAACAAAACAAATGAGGGGAAACAGCGGTGCCAGAGATGAAGAGGAGGAAGAGGAGGATAAGGGAAAACATCTTCATTTTTTGACAGGAGAGGATTCTGCATTAAAACAGCAGCCACAGATATAAGGCAACACACTGCATTGCCACATTCATCTTAATCCATGAGCAACAGAGCTACAGTAAAATACAGGTTATCTTATTTTTGTGATGCATTCCACATCAGACAAACAGCAATCATATGTCTGTGTGCTGCAAATGATTAAAAAAAGAAAACACTGACAATGTGCATCATAGATCTGAATTGCAAATGTTAAAGATGTTCTCAGATGTTCTCAGATGTTCTCAGATGTTCTCTTTCCTGCAGGAGCAGCTGGATGAGGATCAGCATGCAGAGCAGGCACTGTGATAAACCTACCGGGCTGGTGATGATGGGTGGACAGCATCCACAACGCTCTTCTCGGATCAGGAACGACACTCCCTGTGTGTTAAGACGCACATACTCCCCACACTGAAGCCTCAGAGTGCACTGTACACGGTCTGCCTCTTTTGCTGGTATCTCATTCTCCTCCACCCCCTCTCCCTCCTATCAAGACTCCTCCCCCCCTCCTCCAGCATATTCACTTTAATTCTCACACTTCACTGCAGGAAAAAAAAAAAGGATTGCACAGTGCAGGTATGGAGGGAAGCTGAGACAATCTATTCACAGTCAGCTGCATTATCAGGGTTCATTGACAAATAACCTTTGAGCAGCATTCATTGTACGAAGAGAATGCACATGCATTCAAATCAGACGATCTACACAAAAGGCTGTGCATGAATCTTTAATACGGCTTGTTGAGGAACTAGTGAAGCCATCGCCTGCAAGCTCAATTTATCAAATCAATTCAATGCCCTGCCGGCACAGGAAAAACAACAATATTGTCTGTGTGCATATTGTTAGAGCTTTAATTAGAAGGTAATGTCAGTGTCAGGTTTTTAAATGTAAAGGAGGCAGGTGACATCACTGATCCCAGCTCAGTCACAGAAAATCAAACCACCGATCTCTACTAATCCACTAGTACTTTTAATTATAAAATGATTCATGTTCACATTATAACCTCCTCTAGTTCCAAGCACAGATTACTCACAAAGTTAATGTTTGTAACACTTTTTTAAATGAAGGTGCAGAATTTCGTCAGAATGATCCCGGTGTGGTTGTCAAATCTTGTGTTTCAGGCTATGTTTGCTTCTTTATGCACATTTAAAAAATATAAAAATAGGAAACAAAATGAAATATAAAAAAAGTTCTATAAGCACCAGGGGAGGGATTGTGCAATACGGTGTAGAGACAATAAAGTGTGGTGGCGAGTATTCAGATGAGTCAAGAGTACACAAGCAGCAAGAAATGACTCATTCTACACAACATGTGACAGGACCATCATCACTGAGTGTATTCAAAGTTTCGATTCATCTCGTCATGATCACAGACTGAATTTAACATGGATGACGTGACTGAAAAATGAAGCCAAAGCATCTCTATCGCCCCCTGATGGCCGTCTGTAATATGGGCTCATAAACCCAGCCTCCCCCATGTTAGTTCATGGGACATGGAGCAAACTAAAATGTCAAAGTACACTCCAAATAAGTGTTTTCCCAAGATTGAAATGCGATTGTTCAACCATGTGTATATGTGGGATCTCAATAATGCGGCTGCAACCCCTGATCACTACTTCACTGACATCATGGGGAAGATGGCCCCATTAATATTTTAGTTTTCAAAGAGGATTTCTGTCATTTACAGATTTTCAGTACGTGTTCAATTCTTTTTAATGATTCACAGCTTAAACTGATTGGGATTTCTTGAGCACATGTAGCGATGTATCAGCAGGACCTACATTGGACCGGTGTTTCATCCACCAATTGCTACGACGTAGACTTTGTCTTAAAATTACGTCTTTAGCACAAGATGGCGACATTCGTATCCAGGATATATTCTGGCCTCCTTTCTGGGTAGTGGGTGGAAGTGGAGACACGTCATGAATCTTTATAAACACTCTGTGGTTTAATTAGTCTTAAATGATTTTCTATCAGATTGTAACATCCACACGTAGATGTGAGCTCCTCGTGTTTTGTTCTGCCCCTATTATATCAGTCATTGCTTCTCCTGCCACCCACCCATCCATCAAACTGCCAAAGCTAATGAAGGATCTATGTTTCTTTTTTATTTATTTATTTGATAGGGACAGAGCATGTTAATGAACATCAATTTAAAAACACTACACATAAACATGCCAGATTCTAGCAAGAATGCTAATTTACTTCTGTGCGCACGGATCCCTAATTAGAGTGGAGAGCAACCTCATGCAAGAGAGAAGCCGCAACAAGTCAACCACCCGCTGTTAGCTGAAGCACTGAGTTTCATCTCTTTTTATTTACTCACTGGTTCCACTGTAAACTGAGACAAGAATAAAAACAACTTATCACGACTCAACAGTGTCTGGTGGTTGTTTTCTCTCCCTGCAGCGGCTGACTTGGCTGAGGATCCTGACTCCTGAGTAACATGGAGATTCAGCCTCACGACCATCAGTCTGACACATTTTATGCCTCCTCCTGTTCCAAACATGTTGTCTTCACTGCTGTCAGCTCTCATCCATCAACAAACTCTGTGACACGGGCAAAACTGCAGGGACGGAAGATCATGTCCACACTGAGCCGCTACCTGTAAAAAGAAAACATGCTTATTCATCCATGACTTCACATCATTTTGATTTATATACCACTATAATTGTGAATTATTGTCACACTGACTGGTTTCTCCATATTCTGTCTTAAATGTATTTTAAGAAATGTACTGTATTGCTCAAACACACAAATAAAAACCTTTAACCTTTTTCATTTTCAGCATCTTATCGTTAATGCATCAACAGCCTCTGACAAAAAACAAAAAGTGCAAAGTTAGCGGGTTCATTCCAGTTAAAATAAATCCATCTTTCCACTGGCTCCTTATGTAACAGCTCCACCCTCTTTTTAGAGGGATAGAGAGAACAGAGGCTGAGGCAGACGGCTCAGTTCTGGTCGATGATGGATTTCAGATTTTCGGCCTGAACAGCAAATTAACATTCAGGAATACCTCTGGGTGTTGTTTCGTGTGGGGGTTTCCATGGCAACCATGAAACCATTGATTTCCACCTCGGAACACAAGGACCGTTGTGACGGTTTACAAAAAGGTCTGGGATATAGGAATACTATGCATTAGTGAATTATTCAAAAGCAGCTTGAGGCTGAGTGTATGAGACAATATATTTCTTCTGCTAGATTAAAACCTCACACTTAACCACAGTCTCTGCTTGCCAGCAAAAGTAAATTGCTCTATTGCTCTGTTGCTCTATAATTGAAATCAAGGATGTGACAACAGTTTTCCATCCTTTTAAGATTAAACAAAGACAATGGCAAGAGTGAATCCTTTAAAAAAAGTTTTATTAATTGCAACTAAAATTGATTTATTGTCCTCACAGATGCTGTACCAGAACAGGTATAGAATATTTTTGCAGTGACATGCAGCCACTGTGTATGTGGCATGTACGAATAACAGCATCAGTTTTGAACAGCTCTGGTAATAAAAGTGTGACAAAAATACTGTCAGACTCAATCACTTCAAGATGCAACAGCTCCGAGATAAAAAAAAAAAAAAAAAAAAAGGATGTCCTCAACTCAATTACCTGGAACAGACATTAATTAGACATTGTGCCATCAACACAGGCCATCCCTGGAAATATAACACTGTGCCTATATGCATTCAGCCCACTGCATACAGTGGAATTCATATATAAAATGTGCTGAAGGTATTATTTTAGAATTTGACTGTAATTTTAACAATGGAATTTGTGAATGAAAAATTCAGCCCTTATCAATGAATAACTTACTCTTGTACGTTGGAAGGTCTTCTGCACAAAATAATTTGCCAACTACCAGTATGTGTTAGCAGGTGTCAGCGACCACCAGACGATGTTAGGGACATAACTTTAGCTGTGCACCTTAGTGTCATCAAGTGTTTTGGCCTTGTGATCATTGTTACAGGCTGAACTTGAGGGTTCGCTGAGGCTAAAGGTAAATCTGAATGGATACTATCTTGCATAGCAGTACTATGAAAGCCATTTTTTTATGCTTCACTGTGCAATTTATTTTATGTAGCATTATGTGAAGTAAAAAACAACATTTCCATCTCATGTGTAATAGAGTAGAAGTATATGCAATGGAAATAAGTTTGTATTAATAACTCAGTCTCTTGTTCTTCTTGTATCACATCGTCTCTCAGAGCTGAGAGAGACACAGTGATTATGATGCAACACACTGCGGGATGAGCAGTTAGTGTGTTCAGGATACGTGGGAGTGTTTCAGCCGCCTCAGTTCTGGGTCTTTACCATTGGGAAGAAGTAAACTGACTGTGAATTGAACTAAAACAAGGCCAGCACAGATCTGAGTGGTTCACATGCATCGATTTATAACATCACCACTTGGAATTTGAATGTTGGAACTGTCTGTTGAGCACAATGGAATCTAACCACAATGTTGATGATTCATAACATTATTCATTCTGAAAAGAAAAGTCAGTATTTACGGCGTTCACAGTCAATTCTATTCAAACCAAACTGAGTGAGAAGCTCTCAAGGCTGCACTTGCTGTGAATGATGACTCACTCAGAATGAGAAAAGTGTCAAAGAATTAATAGTGCCGGTAAATTTTAGGATATTGAAACGTGGTGGATGGCAGTAAGAGTAAGTATGCTGTTCAGGGCTGAGCGAGAAATATTAAGAAAGAAAGTAAGATGCACGTGAACCAGGATCAGGAACACACTGTACAGGTATTTGAAACAAATGCACAGACATCAGAGATGCTACTTCCAAAAGTGCATATACTGGATCGGTTTCTATTAACATAAGAACAAAATGTCACAGAAATAGCAAAGATTTCACAATGCTTACAAAAACAACAACATTGAGAATACTTTTGCAATAAGGTTCAAATATTAAAAACACTAAAATAAAGATAACATTTTGGATTAGAAAGAAGGTTTGATTTCTTGACTTGTCTGTGATTTTTGTGTGCGAGCGTGGCACTGCACCTCATGAATCTGAACCAATTTAAGCAAAACTGAAGAAATGATCGGTGAATGAGGCCCATTGACTCTAAGAATGGAAATCTGTGGACGAACCTCTGCTGGTTATTCCCAGTATAACCAACAGATTTCATGTGCTATTTCATAGAATCAAATAATATTTACATAAATGTGCTCGGGCCCTTATGAGATAAACAAGCATTAATGCCTACGTTCATACCAACAAGCCATTTAGAGACATCCACAGCAAAACAGTGATTTAGGTTCAGAGGTCTTTTCGCAATAATAAAATGGGTTTGATGGCATATTGAAAATAAAAGCGTTAAATTGTAGATTGCTGCCATGGGTCAGTCCAACTCCCTGCCACATACATACAAGGTTGTCATAGAAACCGTTTCAGATGA